CACACAGAAAACAGCGTGTTAATTTATTTAAATTGACTACGTGCAGAGTTTTCTTGCCTGCGTCTTGCACTACGCCCTCACATTCTTACACCCCTCTCTCTCTCTCGCCCTTCCAGCGCATTCAAGGTGTTATTGGGGTAAAGGGATGTCTCAATGTTTGCACAAATTTCCCATTTTACTGCGCTTCGTCGACTCCGCTGTCATTTTGTCTTCAAATGCAAACCAATTTGCAAACGTCCCTGGAATGTGTAGCTGAGATTTAATCGGCCAGAGCCGACATATGCGAATGCGCTACCACGATAAGCCATATATAGAGTTCAACTATGGAACGGAAATAATTAAGATTATACTACTTACCTATAGCAAGCCAAAGGACATTTTTCGTTAAGATTTTAGCTCAATAGGGCTAATGGTGGTTCCACACCCAAGAACCCACACCTTAGCTCAAGCTATGACTTGTCATTTATCCTTAAAATGGTTGGGAAACAATTATATATTTTTTTTAAAAAAGTTGCTATATTGAAAATATAGCAAGCCTTACACATTATTTATCTCTGCAGAAATATCGCATCTCCCAAAAGTGGTTAAATAAATACATAGGTTGGGGCCAAAGTTATGCTATTTTTTTCACTCAATCACCAATCTTTAAATAAAAATAATGGTTCAGTTCGGGTTCCGCTTGTCTCTTTTTTTTAACTTAAATTCCAGGCTCAAAACTGGCTTGTTGCCAAAAATCAAAACTATTTTGAATACTTATGTGTAGACTATTAAGCTTACAAGATTTCTTAATAAAGTAAAACTTAAAACAATAAAACAGTTGCTGTGAAAAGGAAACTATTTTCATTTTTCAGTTAATTAATTGCTAAACCATCGACCCGTGCATTTCGCTGTAGCGCAGCTGGCAAACGCGCTCGCATAAAAACTCATTTGAAAGAGTGCCTCGACTCTGACTCCGACTCCGGCTCCGGCTCCGACTCTGTGGCTGGACGATGACAAGCAGCAAAGACAACAGCTTGTAAGTCCCCGGTTTGGGTAACCAGTGCTCCACTTGGGGTCGGGTTGAGTTTGGGGATTGGGTGCTGGCGCGTGCGTTGAAGTGCTCATTGCCTGTAGGGCGGTATGCATGAGCACAGCTGCTGCTCCATCCACTGTTCCCCGGAGCTGTCTTGGCAACAATTCGCGTGTCAACAATAAGCGCAATAACTTAAGTTGCATTCAATGGCTGAAGCCAGTACGTTTCATGCAGCCAATGACAGGCGTTGAATGCATCCGGGTGCAGGTGCCTGCTGGTACCTGGTGGCTGGTGCCTGGCTCCAGCCAGCTAATTAACTGGCAAATGAATTTCAACAACAGCAGCAGTTGAAAACACGCGCAGAGTTGGGTAAGCAAACACTGTCCACTTGTACTCGCAGCTACTCCAGCCTCTACGGCTGCTGTTGCCCCAATGAAGTGGCGTGCGCTCCGTCGCGCCATGCAGCTCCAATGTGCCACATGCCCGGTGGCAGTTTTTCAGTTTAAATTATTCATGGTGTTGATTAACGCAAACCCAGAACTGTATACCCTCCCAAATAAACTTCATCTAGAGCACGCCATCAATAACTTAAGAAGCTTCTCATTTACAATCTTTTAATGCTTTGGTTGTGGTTTTATATCCCGCATAACAGTGGAAGCGAACCCTACTTTTGCTTATTGTATTTGTTTATCCACAGCTTTAACAATTGTCTTTTGTTTAAAAAATAAGTCATTTCAATAAATAGAAACCTAAAATTATCAACTAAATTAAGCGAAATTATAGATTTATAATTTAAGTAGCTTTACGCAATGAGTATATAATATATGTATATATATATATATATGCATACGTATTCGCACCTGCATACATAAATATAGATAGTTATGTATATAGCTTGTATATACCAATCACAAAACATTTGATCTACAAATTATTCAAAAAAATAAAAGAAAATATACTATAAGAAAGGAAATATGAAAAATTAATTACAAATTACTGGCTAAATTCAACAATAAATTTTGGATGCGCACTTGAACCTACATACATATTTGTTGTGACTAGATTTCAGAAAATTGGGCGCAGAATCCTGGCGACAGCGCCTAAAAGCATGCTAATAACGCTACACCTAAGTTAAGCGATTGTTTTTTAAAAAACTGGCCAACAACAGCAGTGCAAAGGATGTGGTCAGAAACACACTGCCCGGTATGGAACGACGTATGGGTAAATTGGGATCACGCTCACGTTGGGCAAACAGCTCCACATCCGCTTCATAAGTCTCATAATTATTCCAATGCAGACACTTCTTTACCGCATAGTCCCAACGACGATAAAGCAGTTCACGACCTACAAATAATTATGTTATTAAACTGCTAAAACAGCTTGGATGACATTTTGCTTAATAATTGAATCGATTATAAAGCAAGCCGAAAGTCGATATAAATTTTAAGCAAATGTAATTTTTAGTAACTTACGATTTTGTGTAGTTGTGGGTGAGAACACATCAGTGGGCGGCGCGTACATTCGCGTCGCATAAGGTAATGAAACCACACGCATTGTTACGCCAGCGGCTATCATGGCACCCATGCCAGCGGGCGATGTTGTCTGTGGCCGTTCCAGCATCCAGCCAATAATGTCCGCAATAAACTGAACCAGATGGCTGTCCTCCGCATACTCGCCACCAAATGTCAGAACAGGCTGCATGCAAGACGGATCCCAGTTGGGCGTATCTCGCTTAAATGCTTGAAGGACTTCGTAGATCTGGAAACCAGTTGCCTCATAAGCAGCCTGTGTAATGTTTTCCGCTGTAGTTTGACTTGTCAGCCCCAGTATAATGCCTCTTGCATCATAGCGCCAGTAGGGCGCATATAAGCCATGGAAGGCGGGCACAAATGTTATCTCCGAGCGTTTGGCTGCAAGTCCGCACTCTGCATTAAGCATGCTTGAGGAGCACGAAGATGAGATCATTGAGCTCTCACCCAAAAATGTGTTTAGTGATTCCACAACATTATCATTGGAATTGATTTCGGTATTGATGCGCAGTCCTTGGCGCAGCCAATTGATCGTAGAACCAGCGTTGGATATGGCTCCTTCGAGCGTAAAATGCGTAACTGCTGTGGGACCCAGCTTGTGCGCTATGCCCGTTATCAGACCATTCTCCGACTCGATCATCTGTTGCCCTGTATTTAAGAGCACGAAGCAGCTGTCATCAAGTGTGCAAACATTCTGACCCGCTTTGACGCACAGCTGACCCAGTAAAGCAGCCGGCTGCTCGCCCATTACGCCTGCAATGGGCACGCCCATTAAAGGACCCTCTACAATGTACCCGAAGATCTCTGAATTTGAACGAATGCGTGGCAGTATTCCCATGGGCAGTTTAAAGAATTTGCACAGCTTTATGTCCCACTGTTGTGAGGCGACATTCATTAACGAGGTATAGTGCGCATTGGTCACGTCCGTAGAATGCACGCCTACATCGACGCCACCAGTTAGGTTCTATAAGAGCGTAACATTTTGTATATCAATTTATTTGTTTTCTTACTGTTGACTTACCCATATCAGCCAGGAATCCAGCGTACCAAATAGGCACTGCTCCTGGTCAATGGCCTTGGCTACCGCTGGCACATGCTCCAGCAGCCACTTGATCTTCAGAGCACTAAAGCAACTACTTAGCGGTAGACCACTGCGATAGCGCAAATAATTAACATTTCGCTTGACATTGTGGAGCAGGGATTTGAGCAGCGTGGTGCTCCGACAATCGGACCAACCGATAGCATTGTGTAAGGCTTGACCCGTCTGCTTGTTCCAGAGCACAGTGGTACCGCGCTGATTGGCAATGCCTACCGCAATGATGTCATGCGGACTGATTTCTAGTATCACTAGATTTTTGTATGCAGTCTACACATACACACATTCGTAAATAAGGGGTAACGAAGGGGGGTTATATTCAGATGATATAATCGAAAACTTTTGCGTTACGCACCTCAATGCACTCCTGCATATGTTTCCATATCTCTGCGGGATCGTATTCCAGCCAGCCGGCATTGTGCACTATCTGTCGCAGTTTCAGTTCATGATAGGCCAGCACTTCGGCATTCTTCGTTGAATAAATCTATGGAAATAGATATTGAGTCAGCGTGTGTGTGTGTGCGTTTATGTGTGTGTGTATTGGTAAGTTGAAAAGTATTGCTGTGCGTTTTGTTTTTGGCTTTTGGACTCTTACCAGAAAGCGGCAGTGGGTACTGCTCACGTATGCAACGCCAATGAGTGCTCCAAATCTCCCATAGCGCCCTTCGTTCATATTTCGGTGCTATTTGCTGCAAACAAGCACGTGCCGTTTCTTCTAAGCGGGACGCGCGCAATTTACGTCGCACACAAAGCCGCTCGTTTTCGTATAAATGTATTGCCGTCACCACACCTTCGCCTTGCTGATACCGACGACCAGCCGCCCAAAAATAAATTTGTTTTGTGTGCACAATTAAATATGATGCATAATTTCACGAAATCAAGCGAGATTTTTAAACAACTCATTGATTGTTATTTAAGCAGCGGTACTTCAGTGTGACCACAAACAGGCAGCAGGGAAATACTAAAAACTACTGTCAACCATAAAATTACCAAAAACATTTGAAAAATACCAAATACTGTACACATATAAAAAAAAACATGTTTTGTTTATTATTGTTATTGCAAACCGATTGGGTGATTTCTTAGGAATAAGAATATATATACTTAACAAGTAGCATTACTTTAGACACATATGAAAATCTCGTTAATAGCTATGCTACCCATTTTAATGGTCATAGGTTATAAAAATGCTTTGTAATGCTTAACATGCAGAATTCTTGTATATAAGACTTGATTATTCAAAATATAAGAGTGGAGTTGTTAAAAACAACAAACAAACTATTATCGTATCTTTTATTTTCCGCTTTCCAGTCTAGTGTTATAAACAATTTTACGTTTGTAAGCTAGTCGCTCTCTAGAAACTGACGAGATAAGTTCGCTTTTTCAATGTTCTCTGCCTGTATTGTGATTATCACGCTGTGCGTTCTGCTAAAATGGCTGAATAAGATCAACGAGGAGTATTACATTCTATCCTTCTTCGCGCGAAGAGTGCGTGCCAAGGATGATCGATCCGTAGAGAGCATTGCGCCTATACCCAAAGGCCGCACAATCTTTGGAAACTGTTTTGATTTATACGGAAAAGACGGCGGTGAGCAGCATGAGTACATTTAAGGTTGTATTTTGGGTCAACTAAATGTTGTGCGATAGTGGGTATTTTTCAGTATTCCCGCATGTTGGCTAGGGAGATGGGCAGCAGCTATCTGATATATTCCTTGGGCGCACCCATATATAGCATCATCGATCCTGTCAACGCTGAATTTGTATTGAACAATGCGAGTCTTATAACAAAGGCCACGATATACGACTTCATGCAGCCAGCCCTGCGCACCGGACTGCTGACCTCCACAGGTGACCCTATGGGATATTTTAGTCCATGCTGTGCGTTATCTTGAAGTTTGTCTTTATTGATTTGTAGGTAAAAAGTGGCAGACACGACGTAAGATGATAACGCCCACATTCCATTTCAATATATTGGGTCAATTTATGGAAATCTTTAAGTAAGTTTATATAAACATATGTTCCAGTGGCATAAATTGATCGTATAACTCTTGAAAGAGCGGAAAGTCAAAAGTTTGTGAGGCGATTCGAGAATCAAGAGGAGAGTGTTATCTCAATAAGTGAGCATATTCCCAGATTTACGCTCAATAGCATTTGTGGTAAGTTCGACTCTCTTACAGTTCTTCTAAAGAAGTTAAATTAACTGTTCTACAGAGACCGCAATGGGAATAAATCTGGATGATCTGACAGAGAAGGGCGATCGTTATCGTGAGAACATAAAAATGATCGAGAAATGTTTTATAAAACGTATTAGCAATCCGCTTTACTATAATAATACAATGTACAAACTTCTTGCTGCCAGCGAGGATGCGCCATTTCTGAAGGTGGTTCATGAATTCTCTAGCGATATTATTGCCAAACGTCGAGTTCTCTTAAAGGAGGAGCTAGACGAAAGACGTAAGAATCAATTGGCAGACGATGACATGTGCGTTAACCCAAAACCTATAAACTATCAACAAGCAACATATCCCCTTTCCTTTATCCAGATACATCAACAAGAAACGGCGCTTTGCCATGCTGGACACTCTTATATGTGCTGAGAAGGATGGTCTGATTGATCATGATGGCATCTGCGAGGAGGTCGACACTCTTATGTTTGGAGGCTTCGATACAACATCTATGAGCCTGATCTTCACACTTATGCATTTGTCCTTGTACGAGGATATGCAGGAACTATGCTATCAAGAGATATCGCAGCACATAGATGATCCCAGCGATTTAGACACTAATCAGCTGTCCAATCTGAAGTATTTAGATCGCTTCATAAAGGAAACAATACGCATGTTTCCTCCTGTGCCGACTATGAGTCGACAGACATTACACGAAACAGAACTGCCAAATGGACTCATCTTGCCTGCCCGTACGCAAATATCCATGCACATTTTTGACATACATCGCAATCCCAAATACTGGGATTCGCCGGAAGAGTTTGATCCTGATCGTTTCTTGCCAGAGAACTCCGTAAATAGGCATACTTATGCCTATATACCATTTAGTGCGGGTCAGCGAAATTGTATTGGTAAGATTATTTTTTTAAATTTTTGCATTATATTGAACTTTTATTGAATTTCTATGTGCTGTAATTTTAGGTCAAAAGTACGCAATGATGGAAATAAAAACGCTAGTGATATTTATTTTGAAGCGGTTTCAGATTTTGCCCATTACTGATCCAAAGGAACTTATTCTTCATAGTGGCATTACCCTATGTGTTAAAAATAATATTAAGGTAAAGCTAGTGCTGCGAAAATAAATTGGAAAAAATCGAAAAAATCAAAATCTTCCGATATTATGTGTTTTTGTCGTTAGCTAAATAATCAAATTATATATACATATGTATATATATTTAATACATTGCCAATGAAAATATACCAAGAAAAGTATTTAAATACTGCACATTTAAGATAACGTTGGCAGCTTGGGAAGCCATAAAAAGTTGGCAGCACCATGCTCTAGTGAGCGTGCGCAGAGCGCGTAAAACAAAACTGGAAAAACAGAGAAACAGAAGACATCGCGCACGCAACGGTGTTTTTACAATTACTACATTAATATAAATGCAGCCATTGATATCACTGCGCAATTGAGAGTATTAATCAATGCAAAGAACGTGCGCTGTTATTAACAGCTTAATTCAGCATAGGCCAAACTGCTGCTGCTGCCTCAAACGTAAACAAATACAAATTGATATCTCTCGTGGCTACTCAAACTGCCAAAATAGCAACAAAAAGGCGCACGAAAAACATGCAGCGATATTATGCAGAACGTGAGACTACAGGACCCGAGTTCGGTAAGAGAGTCCTTTTTTGGTAACCACAATACACAATTGAAAAGTGCAGAATCAACCCCCAGCAACAACAGGACACACAACAGTCTTCCCCTATTAGAGAAGACGGGCTAAGGGTTGCTTCTGCTGTTACCGCTGTTGCTGTGGTTGTTGTTGTTCTTGTTGTTGTTGTTGCTTCTGCTGCGAAGAACGTAGAAAGCAAAATGTACTGCGACAGAGATTTTAACGATTTTTCAAAACCCATAGACGATCGCCTGATAAAATTGGTGCGCGCTAATCCTGCCATCTACGATGTTAGTCATCCGCACTATCGCCGTAACCCCGTTAGAGTGGACATATGGGATCGCATCGCGAACGAACTTGGGGCGTCATGTAAGTGGAGAACTAAACAATTATCACAGCTCGAGGATGTTGATATAGCACACACAAAAAAGTTGAATATACTCTATATAATATGTAATTGTTATGATATCGTTCGAGATTTCAACTTGGCGATATGGTGACACAATATATATTCGGAATATCAACATCCCTAGCTTTAGGTCTGAAATCTTGTATATTATTCATCCCCTCTTTCACTATTGTAGCACGATTTCTGCAAACAAAATGGAAGAACATACGGTATAATTATCTACAAGAGATTAAGGCCCTGGAAACAGGACAGGTAAATCCGAATGTGCGCAAGCGACGCTTCACCGAGGATTTATCATTTTTACAAAACACCGCACAAACGTACAATGTGAGAAAGGCACAATCCTACATAGTCCAGAACAATAATACAAATAACGGTGGCAGCAGCGACAACGACAGCAACAGTTTTCTTTACCCAGATCCGGAGCACTTGCGCGTCAATCTAACGGATAACTATGATATTATTGAGCTAGATGATGAAAATAGTGAGGACGGCTCGACGCAAGTGGGTGGTCACAGTGATAATGAAATCGTGCCTGAGCTGATGGTCATGGAGCCCAAGCCCGATGTCACCTTGCAACAGTCATCCGCTGTCAATGGCAACGGCAGCAGCAACAACCACAACAATACGCAGGTTAGCTCACCGGCCTCCTCACCGCTGCTTATGCCCATGGTGGTAATGGGCAACGGCGATGAGCTGGCACATCAGGAAATAAAGGCGCAGCCGCAATATCACAATCAGGACCTTAAAACCGAACAGCAATACAGAAACAACACTGCGCTCTCCAACGGCGAGGTGACAATCGAGCCCATTTATAAAGCAGCGCTCTCGCGACGCAGTGCACCCGGCATCATGGCTAATGCTGCGAAACGAAAGGCTATGGCTGCGCCCCTACCCAGATTGGCGCCCATTAATGATCCGATTGAGCTATACTGCCTATCGCTAGTGGACACGCTGCGCAGCATGCCCAGATCGGAGCGCGAACGCGTCAAATTCGAGTTTGCCAACATTCTGAAGGATGCTAAGTACAAGGACGAGGCCTAATCTTACTTAAATCCTGTCTGTTTCTCTGGGTATTTACGCATACGAACAATTCTAAGTCACATTAAATGTATTATTTTTACATTATATGCAAAATATTTAGCATTTTCTAAGACGCTATTTAGATTAAGCTTTCTACATAATTTAGTTTTTTTTATTACAGTACTGTTGTATGTGTCCATATCTATTCAGTTGTATCAACAAAATAAAATAAATTATACACACATTCAGAAATCATTACAATCAAAACCGCATTTTTTCTATAAGATATAAATTTGCTCTACAAAGACTGTTTCAGATTAATAAACCTTCGAGTCGATGCTTCATTCTGTTTAAAGTGAGCTTGGCATCGGCAAGATCTTAAATATAGACGTGTAACCAAAATCGAAACTAGAATGTCAACGTTCAAATACTACTGCATGCTAATACATTATTTGTATCCCTCAGCATTCTAGATAAAAAACGAAATAAAAGTAGTTTTTTATTGTTTGCAGCCCAAACGCTTTCGAAATGAATATTTATTGCGTATAAGTAATAGTTGTATTTAAGGTATCTATAGTATATATCTTGTTGTCGAAACGTGTTAATTACTAACGTTTTCGTTTAAGCCTATAAACTACGTTCGTTATAACTGCTATTACATGCATATCCCCAAATATTTCGTGTATATATATAAATATACATATATTTATATATTTTTGTTCAACTTGATAAAATTGAAATCAAATTTTCATTTTTTTCAATATAAAATCTACATACACTGCATTAATAGTCTTTCGATATCGTATTACAGCTATAATTTTTTAAATTTTACGAAAAATAAAAATAAAACTGTATACAGAAAATATTATATGTTCTATATATTTTATATATAGTGCGTAAGGCATACATCAATAGGATTAATAAATAGTTGTGTTAGTTTCTTTTCAAAGATAAAAACAATTAAAAACTATTAGAAAAAGCTCAACAGTATGATGGGTGTTATATGAAACAAATATTAAACGACTGTCTCTGAACTATACATTAAATCATATATATGTATAACTGTATGTGTGTTATTAAAATATTGTTATAAACTTTGTTCGCCCCTTTTGTGTTTGAGCTGCTGCTATTACTATTATGTTATTATCTACGGTTATCTACATATCATGACGCGGCGTATTTAGCACGGAGCTTTGCGCCTGCATTTGGCGACCGTTGGCAGAATCTTGGCCTGGCTTGTTATTATCGTCTGTGTCCAAAATGTCAGAGAGATCATACATACTGGGCTGATAGGCCATTAGCTCGGAGCCGCTGCTCGCTGTAATTTGTACAAAAACGTAAATATAACGAGACTTTATACAAAGCGGACTGCTTACACACCTTTCTTATCGCCGCCCATGCTATCATTCAAAAAGGACAGGCCATAATTATCCAACACGTCAGAATCATTGAAGAGCTGCAATCAGAAATATTAAATAAAATTAGGTAAAACATGTGCCTTTACTAGCTTTTTTTATATCTTTCAATTTAAAGCACGAGCATATCAAAACTACATTTATAGACGCACCGCGCTGACCTTCTGTAGTAGTTCCTCGTCGGTCAGCTGCAAAACGGGCATCCTGGCAGCAACGCCCTTTGGCGCAGCCTGAACGTGCACATAGAATAGATGTATAAATATGTTATGAACTGATTGCTTAAACGGACACACGGACAGCATAACAACAAAGTATTAGTAACTATAGCCACTTCAATTGGCTTGATACTTACGCCCATAAGCATGTTTTGATCAATGGAAACTCCCTCGCCGCGCAGCAGATCCTTCAGTGTGTCTAGCTCATCTTGCATATTATCCAAGTGACCGGTAACCTCATCACTGCAACAACAACAACAATTGGAAGGGTATTTGTTAGTATTGGCTACCAATTCGCAACCAAGCGGTTTGGGCTCAGTTACTGACACGCCACTCAACCGTGAGTCTGGTCCATTATCTCCTGTGTACTTGGCCACGGTCATCGGTTGTTGCTGCTGTTGTTGCTGCTGCTGCTGCTGTTTCTGTTGTTGTTGTTCATCATTGATATCCTGCACCCCAGCAGCCGCCTTTGAAGTAGATGCCAAATTCGCGTCGGTTACCAAAGGATTCTCATTGTTACTATTGGCCAAATCAAAGCTGATCGGCGCATTTGCAAACTTTCCAGTGTTCACAGTGGTGCTTCCGAACTGCTGCTGCTGATCCAGCTTGGCGGCTTGCTCATCCATGCCAGCGCTAGACATCAATGAGTCATCCTGTAAGGCACAACAATTACCGTTAAACACATTCTTGTATTTTTCTTGTATATTGTGTCTTACTTCAAAAATATTCGTTGGCATATCGTTGCTTATAAAATTGACATTGTACAGATCCCCGTCGTTTGACTCAGCCTGCTCCAACAAGGTTGGCATGCTTCCTCCAGCCACACTGCTTAACTCCGGCTCCGTCTTTACCAGTACTGGCTGCGGCATGACATTGACCTGTGGCTGTTCCTTAGACTGTGAACGTGCGCGCGAAGCCTTCGGGGACATATCCAAATCGACCTGCCCAATGATTTCTGTATCGCGGCGCTGTTTGTTCTTCTCCTTAAGCTGTTGACGCTTGCGTGCCTCCTGCTCGCGCACCATGGGAGTGGTAAGCACATTCAGCTGCTCGTCGCTGTTGTAAAGACTGTTGGGACTGAGCTGCAAGTTTTGCTCCTGTACATGCGAGTCGGGTGCTTCTGTGACGGTGTATAGCACTTGCTGGCCACCAGGCGAGCAGGCAACGTTAGTTGCTGCATCTCCGCTATTCAATAGCTGAGCATTAATAAAATCCTCGGCGCTCTGATTCGAGTAGTCGTAATTTTGAGAACTTGTGATGCTTGTATTGGAACGTGGTCGCTCCATAGCCAGCGGTGAGACGCTCTCTGCATCATACTGCTTAGCATATGGGCTGTTTGGGTTCATTACCTCGTCAAGTAGCTCCTCGCTTAGCTCATGTATGACAGGGCCGCCTTCGCTTTCCGATTCACTGGCATTACGCTTACGGGCATTCTCCGGTGTATCGTTGATCATCAGTTGCATGTGGCGTTTGACGCCTGACATGTTACGCGATGGCTGCACTATCGAGATTAGAAATTGTATCAACTTGTTGACTATCTGTTGCTGTTTGGCGTGCTTCTGGCGCAGTGAGGCTATTTCGCGCCACAGAGCCTCGTTTTCCTGCTTCATCACCGAAAAGCGCGAGTCCAAATTGTCTTGACGGCCGCGCATAGCCTTGACATCACTGAGCACCTTCGATACAGTCTCCTGCTTTAGCGCGGTCTTCTCATCCACGGTCTTTGTATTAGATATTTTGCGCTTAATGTGATCAAGTAGATAGGGATAATTTCGCTTAAAGCACGGGTGTGAAAACTCAATTTCATCGCGATCAAATCGTAGCCCCCCATTCTCAATAGAGGTGATCTTATGAAAACCATCTAAAATGCAAAGCGAGCTGCTAGTTAAGCTTACTAATTTAATTAAATCTCATATCTCTACTTACACATATTCAACTGACGTATAAAGCTGGCCATGTTGTTATGCTTGTAGTTCAGTGGCAAGAGCTCACGCGCAAATTGCGCCTGATTTTGTATGATAAAACTGCGGCCATCCTGAAAGGAAAGAATAAATAAGCCACAAGTAAATAAAAAGTTTGGACGAGGACAAAATTAGAGAATACTAATGCAACCAAGCACAGAGATTTCAAGAGGATGCCCGTGCATGCATCGTTACAATATAAAGTTGTTACTTTGTGATACAAGAGACGGAGTTTTGGGGAATTCCCGTACTGTTCTTGTCAACTTCTAACTTACCTTCATGCCCATTGGGGCTCAAGGTAGAATTAGTACATTTTAATTTTCCCACTGTCGACAAATAAATGAAAACATGTCAAATTTAAAGAAAAACGCTTAGGCCCCGGCAATCCCGGGAAATACCGACTCGCAATCTACATACAAAAATCTGCCATGCCTAATAATGGGAAAATGAAAACAGCTTTTAGCATGTATCCTGCAGTTAACTGGAGTCTGTGTATATTTACATCACTTCCAGCTGCGATAAGTCCAATTAATTGTTCTACAAAATTATGCTTTTTGGCCAGCTAACCATTTCTAATACTTTGATTTAAGATAAAGGGCTAACCACTATTTGTATTTCCCCACAATTCAAGCACTAAAATTCGACATTACGGCAATGTGATAAGGCGCCGGAATTAAAGTATTTGAATATCGGGTCAGAATTATCTAATTATAAAGCCACACATGAAAAAAGCGTGTGAAATATGGAAGTGGCAATCACCAAAAAAGCTTGCTTATCTATGCACACACTTCGCGAAAGCAAGCCCAAAACAGAATAAGCAACACACAGGGCAGGAAAACAAAATTGAATTGAATAGTGACAGACAGACTGACAAGCAGACGGACGGAGAGGGCAGGCAAATGGAAAATTTTCAGAGATGCATTGGATGGAGGGCACGCACGTACGCACGCACAGCCAATGCAAATAACAACAACAATAACAAAAACAAAATAGAGAGCAGTCCTCTTGCATACGTGCGACTGAGCACTGCAGGAACAACAACAACAACAACAACGCATCAACGAGTGTGCAGACAAATGACGTAGTGAAAGTCGAGTCGTAGTGTATTTAAAACACCTGTGTTTTGTTGTTGTTGCCATGCCAAGAGAAAAAAATATGTAAATAAACAATATGGCGGCCTACCTTGCTCCAACAAATTAAATTATTTGTATCAGGATCGTCAACGAGCCGCCAAAGTTTCGCCAAAAAGGCAGGCACTCCGCTGCCGCTGCCCGTTTCACCAACTGTATGCATGTTGCGACGTGGTCGCTGCTGCTGCTGATCCTCGTCGTCCTCCTCTTCTTCAGTTGATTCGTGCTTTAGTTGCACGGATTTAAAACTTGCACGCGTTTTGGACATATAAAGCGACGATAAAAACTGCGTACAAATCGTTAGAAGAAAGAAAACTTGTATGAATGAATATAAATTTTCACTATGGGCACAGTCCACATCCAGTCGTCACCATATATTTCAACATGTATGTATGTATGTGTGTGTGTGTGTGTGTGGTACCTACCGCAACACTTTACAGCTTTTTTTTCTTGATTAAAAATTGTTTTAAAATCAAAAAGACAATGTTAT